ACAGGACCTGTCTGTGCTGCTGGTTTTTAACAAGAACACTGAATTTGAAGTCCATGCCATCAGCAGAAGATAAGGCTGCATCCTTTCTTATTCATGCCTTACCTGGGAGAACACGCTGTGAATAATTGATTCAGGCATCAGGCACTTGGAGAAGTAACTGCAGATGATGGGGAAGGGAACTGATGATAAGTGGGGAGAGGGGAAAATAACAAAAAGCACGGCATGTTTTTAAGGGGCTGTCTAAGAGCAGGGCTGCCTTTACCTCCTGCGGTGCTCTGGCAGATGGGTTTAGCTCCAAGCACCGGCTCAGGGCAGGGCTCAGTTATGGGTGCCGTTCCCTGCCTAGTCCCATGGTAAGTATGGGGAGGTGGTGACCCACGACCCGACCCCTTGGCCTGTCTTTCAGCCCATCACTTCATCGCGGCGACGGCGTGCCATGAGGCGGAGTACGGCAGGCAGATCCGCGAGCGCTGCCTGCGACCCTTCAAGCTCAGCATGGAGGGCATCGGGCAACAGCTGTGGTGCGACTGGGATGAGACCATGGGGTAAGTGTGGGTCTTCCTCTCCAGAACAACTCATGAGCCCAAAAGAGAGCCGGGTCAGAGCTGGCGAGCCTAAGGGACAGCGTGGGTGGTACCGCATCAGGGACCTCCTGCACCCATATTTGATTTGGGGATGGATTGAGTTCAGCAATGGGTTTTCTTCCACAACGGACCAAATGTGCCATTTCACACTGCTTTTTTGTTGTACTGTGACAGTGCCCTGGCAAAGGTACCCAGAGAGGCTGTGGGGCCTCCTCCTTGGACCCCCCCCCATTCAGACCCACCTTGACATGGTGCTGGGCACCCTGCTCTGGGTATTTCTGCTGGAGCAGGGGCTGGGCCAGAGGGACCCAGAGATCCCACGCTCCCTTAGTGTGAGACATCCTCTGTATTTAAAGTCTCAGGCTGTCCTACAGGCTTGCCCTTCGCATCCAGAAGTCGCATGTTGATTTTTCCTGCCATCTTGGAGGAGAGGTTGGCGTGCTGTTGGTAGGGCATGGCAGCCTTCTGCTGCTCATAATCAGTGTCAGGGAATTAGCAGCGATCCGTGGCAGATGAGAAGCAGGGTCCTGGGCTGCTCTCACCAGAGCTCACTTTGCATGTTGTGCTCTCATCCAACATCGGGGCATGGTCTTTCTCTTGAGAGACAGAAGAGTGTACAAAAGCAAGCTCTTGCAACACAGCTGGGGATTGAGGGCAGCTGGAAATGGAGAGCAGCTGGAAAGGGAGAGCAGATGCTGCCACGTGCTGTGAGTGTGTTGCACAAACATACAGTTTTCTGGTGAATTTCCTGCCTGTTCCTCCTCTTCTGTGCCAAATTGATATCTTCCTCTCTGTGCATTTATGTGTATGTAAACACATATGTAGCCTACAAAAATGACAGCTTGGGTTTTCCTTCCTCTTTATCAACGATAAAATTGAGGCGAGAAAGAGCAGGAAGACTGTGTGGGAGATGTTCTGCTTCTGGGAAACCTCATCTGCCCCAAAACCTGACTCTCCTTCCTGAAAGATTCAATGGGTTTGTGAGACCAGCATTAGCCCTTATTCTGTTCTTTTCTGTAGCACAGAGTGCATTGGACATCTCTTGTTTTCATGATGTCTGGGGCTGCTGCCTCTGAGCAAGGGGAAGTGCACCTCGTGATTCGGTGCCACCTGTGAGCTGGATGAGGTGCAATCCATCTCCAGATCTTCGGTGAGGCCACAGCACAGGAAGCAGAGTTGTATTAGGGAGCTGCTTCTTTATCTCTGACATCCTGATTTTCTTCTGAATAGCTTCTGCTAAACTTATTATCCTTGAGGCACTTGAAGGACATGTTGATAAACTCACAGTGTTTAATTTGATTGCACGAGTTCATTTGCTCCGTGGGAACACGAGCCTCAGGTTATGGAGGAGAGGATGTTCTGGGCCTAGAGCCTCATTGTTTGTTCTCCATATTTCACCCCATTTTGATTCTTGAAACCCTTCTGGAACAGAGCGTCCAACCATCAGTCGGCTGAGCCCCATGTCCATCCATGCCACATCCACACGTCTCTCCCTCCAGCAGCATCGGCTGCAGCGCTGCCCTGCACAGCACCACAGCCTGAGCATCCTCCCCAGGAAGAAATATAGCCGGGGAAGCTGTGTGAGCTGCCACTTGCTTTGGGAAGGCAGATTTGAATAACAAATTACATGCACGCTGTGTGATGGGAATGGAGGAGGACGAACCACCCCAGTGCCAGCATGGCAGCGCAGCTGCAGCCGTCACTCAGCTCTGGCTGCTGAGGGGCCGCCAGGCTGTCACCCTGCTAAGAATACACCCCAGGCATTTCTATTTATCGCCAGCTTCCCAAGTGTCTGTGGGATGCGCTGTCTTGAACAGCGACCTTGCAGGGGAAGACACTGTTTTCTTTCCCTTTCCTTTAGAAAGTAGAAGTGAGCTTTTTGCCTTCTGTCGTTTTCCTCCCCCTTCCTTTACAAAGTGGGCTCACTAGAAGAAGAAACCTATTTCTGTCCCTGGCTACCCAGTCTCAAGTATCTGTGTGCACATACAGACACCTCTCCAACAGAAGGTATGATCTCTATGATAGAAAATATGTTTTCTGACATACATACAACCATACTTCTATTATGGAATATTATATCCCATCTTGGTTATTATATTTCACCTTCATTACGCACACAGTAATACTCTTACCATCACAAACCTTTCTGCTGGTATCCAGGGCTGGGCGGATCCATTTTAGTGGGGTCTGTGGGAAGCACCTGGCGACGGGAGGCTGGTGAGGACCCAAGTCCCCCACTGTTGCCACCCCGGTGCCCTGTCTGTCTTGCAGCACCTACGGGGAGCTGACGAACTGCACGGTCGCGGTGGCTGAGAACCTCACTTGCTACTGGCCCAACCGCTTGGTGGATGAGTTCTTCGTCGCCGTCCACAGCCACTACTTCAGGAACTGCTCCCCATCCGGCCGGGCGCTGCGTGATCCCCCCAACGGCATCCTCTGCCCCTTCATCCTGGTGCCCATCCTCGTCACCCTGCTGGTGACAGCGCTGGTGGTGTGGCGGAGCAAACGCAGCGAGGGCATCGTTTAGAGATGGTTTGTAGGGGAGAACCTGGCCAAGGAGCATCCTTGGGTGCTGAGCCCCATCGGTGCCGCTGCGTCCCCTGCTGGCCCCTTCCCAGGTGGCTTCCAATTAAATCCATCCTTAACAACCTGGGGATGCTGGTGGCATTGAGGATGCTGCTCGCTGGGTAATGGGAGAGTGCCACAGCTCTGCTCAGACCTTCCCTGCTTCCCTCCCAGCAGCCACTGGGGGGAAAAAAGGAAAAAATGGAAAAATCGGGGGAAAAAAAACAAGGCAGGGGTCGGTGTCTTGCCTCTGGTGCCAGCACAGCACTGGGACGTGCCATAACCACAAGGACAACGCGTCAGGGCACAGCCTGGATGATAAAACCTTCACTTTTTATCCTTTTTTTGTTGTTTTACCCTTTGTATCGGCAGGAAAAGCACCTTCTCCCCCTGCCCACCTGCAGACAGGCTCTGACTACAGGTGGAGAGATGGGTGTGACGGTCACTGCTTCATACTGGCAGGTGATACCAGTAGCGGCACTGATGGCCTTGGAGGTGCCCCAGGGCCAGTGAACAATGGGAATTAGGTGCTTTTCCTAATTAAATAAATACACGCAGAAGTAAAGCAGGTGGCAGTCTTTGGTGCATCCCCTCCACGAAGCCAGGCTCCGGGTGGGTTGAGGGTCCCCAAACCCCCACCCTGCTGCCCTGCTGGGTGCCCCTGTGGGTCTCCTTTAGGTGCCCAGGGGAGGACTTCACCTCCAAACCAAGCCCAGGGGAGGGAGGCATGGGGGGAGGGGGGGAATCTTCAGGTGAGATATGGAAGCTGAGGGGAGAAACAGAGCTAGGGGATTACACTCAGCCTATGGAATGAGGATTTCAGTGGGGAGGCTGTTGGAATGGGGCACGTGCCAAGCATGGGCCAAGAGCAGCCCCAAAGCACCCCTGCAGGCCTGCTGCCCCCCGCAACCTCGTGGAGGGGTTCATCCCTGCCACTGATGAAAACTGAATGTGCTTTCCACCCTGCCTGTGTGTGCTTCTCTCCCTACCCTCCCTGACATTACCACTTTGGCAGTAGAGATCCGCCACAGTCACCTCCTGCTCCAAGGAACGTGCTGCTCCACATTTCATTCCCAATGCATACAAAGGCTGCATTATCTAAAGAGAAGGCGCTCCTGCCACGTGCCATCCACACGTCTCATCTCCTCACTTTTCTGGGCCTCCAGTAACACCTGCAGGAGGGAAACGTAGCCAGCAAGGCTGCTGCAACCTGCTGAAGCTGCCCTGTGCACACAGAGGGGGAGGGGACTGAGAGACCTGGCCACTGCACAACACAACAAGCGCTCTGTATGAAACCACACCAACATTTATTCCCGGGTTTATCTAGGTATAAAAGCTGCTGTGCAATCCCCCCGAGGTCAGGGTGAGCAGTGGGAGCTGAGGGCACCAGCAGAGGGTCAGCAAAGTGCCCACACACAGCATGGAGCTGAGTGATTGCTGAAGGTCATGGGAACTGATCCCCCCCTCGACTGCATCCCCAGCTGAAGGCAAAGGCAGATTTCTTAAACAAAACAAATCTCCCTTTCATTACTTTTCCACAGAAATATATATATATATAAAAGATATATAGGATGTTACTAATACTACACAATCACTTAAGTTACAGATTAGCCTTATATTCCTTTTAACTACTTCACACGCACACAAAGAAAAACCACCGTGGCCCAAACAGGAGCTGAAAACAGCACTGTAAAAATTCCAAACTTGTGACAAGAAGGGACTTACATTAAACACCATGGGAGTTCCAGTGCTGCAGCACAGGGGGTGTTCAGCAGAGCACTCTGCCTGACTCCAGCAGCTCCTGGACAAAGCTCCTACAGTTCCTGCTCATCAAAAGCAACAGGATTGTGATTTGGTTCACAGGAGACCATTTTATTTCCAACTTGAAGTGTTCCAAACCCACACCACCTGCTTGCTTTTGGCTTTTTCTTTCTCCCCAAACGAGGCAAAAGGTTTTAAAAAAAAAAATAATAATTCCAATTCCAATAGTGATTTCTTTTAACTTGTCAAGCATATCTCATCAACAGGATATACAGTACAGTTCAGAAGAGTAAACATTTTATAAGTAAGCAAACAACTTGGGTTTTTTTTTTTTTTTTTTTTTTTGTTTTTTCAACCAACAAACACAATTTCTTGCTGTATTGATGCTGAACTCTCCTTTTAACATGGACAAGTTATGAAGTTAGGTTTCTTCTTCGGTACAACATGGACACTGGACTGGTACAGTCCGGGCTGGTTTTCTTCTGGTTGGTGTTGTTGAAGTTGAAGACAGCATGGAAGCCGTGGTCCTGCTGGCCATCAATCTTCATCATCTCGCATAGCGCTTCATGTAATCTTCAACTTTATTCCTGAAGTCCTCCTGGGGAGAAGCAGAGGCAGAATTACCACGAAATGAACGCCCACCACTGCACAGACACCCCGCACACACCCTACGTGTGCAAAGGAACTAATGGAAGGGATGTAACACCTTGTTTTAAACAAGATGCTGTGTGTCAGCCAGCTCCAATCCTGCCGGCAGATAGGAAGGCTATGCATCACACTGGAGTGTTTTTGAACACACTTACAAGCTTACAAACTACGTGCCTCTGAGCCACTCCCCAGTCTCAGGCTGTCTCCAGGTACCTCGAGTTCTGCTGAAATATCACACCACCAAAAATAAGTGACACCTTCAACTTGTGTTCAGCTCTGACAAGGCTGCTTTGCTGCACACTGGGACGATTACTCATAATGGCAAATGTGCTGGAAATCTCATTTGCAGTCATGGTGGGCACCCTGGGTATCACAGGCTGATCCCTCACAGCAGCAAAATGAGCACCCAGACTCTCCTTGGGCAATGACAGCATTGGAGCACGTCAGTCACAGCGCTGCACCTGATACACTAAGACTTGGACTCACTGTATTAGTGAGGAATGGAGCTTGATTACAGAATAACCCGAGTTGGAAGGGAGCCATAAGGACCATCGGGTCTGACTCCACACATCAGCGCAAGAAGGCAACACCACCCATCTTTCAGGACAGTAACCCCAATTAAGACCCTTTCTAACATGTTTTTTTTTCTGGTTTTGCAACCATCTACGACTGCTGACACTCTTGCTTACAGCCCCCATTTGCTGGGAGCTGGATGGGTTAACAGAGGGCTCCGTGGTGCCCGCTGCCCTGGGTCACTAAAACAAGCTGGGAAGATGGCCAAGAAATAGCACTGAACATGCAACAGAGCCAGCTGCATCTTTACTGTAACTACAGTACCTACAGGTGGCTCAGGAGCCGGTCCCATGCTTTTCAACGGACAGACAGGGCCTCTGAACTCAACTCACAGCAGCTGGACCTGGGCCAAGGGGTGCTCCAGGACTCCACGCCCTCACTTACAAGTTATCACCAGACGAAGGAGCTGACAGCACTGGTGAGAATGCCTTACGGCTGTCCTTGCTGTATGTGAAGGAGGTTCTCATTACGGAGCTGTAATATTCCATCTTCACATGCCATATGGCTCAACAGTCCCTGATTAACAGTGTGCACTTTCCTACGTGCACAGCTGTTGGTGTGCAGCACTGAATAATCAGAAGCAAGGAATTAGTCAGAGCAGTCTGTATTCTGCATGACAAAGAGGAGCACGGGATCCTGCAGGAGTGCTAAGGGAGAGCAGGAGTGGGGCTGGGGCGGGCAGTGCATGCAAGCACCCATCACCATGTTAGGTGAGAGCCCTGCTGCTCTCTGCCCCCTGCTTCTACCCTACAAAGTCCTGCACCCCATGGTCGGGATGCTGAGAGGGAGAAGACTGGGGGACTGCTGCTGCCAGGGACCCATCTGCTGGGCTCCTGCCTTGTCCCTGCTGGGACAGCTGCCTGCCCCGTCAGTGGCACTGTTAGGCCACTGTAAGGGGAGAGGGCTGATTGTTGCTGTGACATTTGACTACAGCAGCACAGATGCTACAGTGCACGACGCTCCATCAGAAGCAACCCCAGCCAGCCATTAAGCTCTGAAAGGCCATCAGGGAATGCTGAAAATACTTTTTAAAGCTTTTCAAAAGGGAAATCTAATTTTAATTTGCCTTTCATCAACTTCAGGGCGCAGCGTTTCCATCACGAGCTTGGAGATAGCACACAGATGGAGTAAGAGGCTGCCAGTGCCGCCCATGGGTTTTCCCAGTGGGGAGGTGGGGTGGTGGGGAGAAGCAAGGCTGGGCTTTATGCCTGGGAGCAGCACCTGCAGTCCTGTCTTGCCTGGGATGGAAGGTCAGCAGAAGAGAGCAACAGCCCAGGGATGAGCAAGAGCTGGTGGATACCCACGATGTGGCAGTGTCTGCTTTAGACCCATGCACGAGCAAAAAGCCATTTTGGAGCAGACCTAAAGCAGTTTTGCCCCGAGCTGCAGGGAGGTCAGAGCGGTACGTGAGCACAACGGGTCCATGGGGAAGCATGTACTGCATGAGTAATGCTGGCCAAACCCCTGCTTCATCTGCTGAGAATCACACTGGGGCATCGATCGACCGAAGGGAAACTCAGAATTAATCAGCAGATGAAGAGTGTGATATATGAGCCACAACATATTTCACAATATCACTGTGCTGAAAACTGGGTTACAGCACAGACCAAAGTCCAGCACTCACTGAGCTTCTGTTTGAACACAACAAGCTTGGAGCTTTCTGAAAAAGCTGCCGTCTCAGAGTTGTTTTATCTAAGAATATGGACCCACATAGTAACACCAAATAGTAATTTAAACCTCCACTATTTCAACACGACATTATTTTAGTCCAAAGTTTATCAGCAGGGTTAAATCCCAAATGGTTTCCGTTAGGACCCTCTTTATGGCTTCACTGAAAGGCATGTTAGTGGAATACTGGGCTCTACCACTCACCAGTAAGCAAGCCACAGTCTGCTCATGTTGCTCAGCCCCACTCAGTGCTTTGGGAGGAGGACACAATAATTGGGCAGGTTTGCCTATTAACCCCGTAGAACACATTTAGAGCAACCTTTCTTTTCCATCTTGTAGGAAAAAATTAGTCTTCACATCCACCAGCCCCTGCACTCCCACTCTCTTTTAGAAAGGAGCTGAATGAAACACAAAGATCTCCAGGATCAGGCCTTTTCCCAATCCATATTCCTACCTCGCTGTGATTTTCTTGGCACTGTTTCATTTAGAGCTCAGCTTCTACATCATTTTACACATTTTCTGAGCCCTGTAATTACACTTCAGTTGCACGAAGGAGGACTTGGAGAGAAGGGAGGGTGAAAAACAGCACAGTGTCCCCGCCACACTCACACCAATCTCTGTGCAGTCCCCACAGCATCAGTTTTTGGGCATTTTTCCCCCCAAACTGCTGCTCTCACAGGTCAACTGTCTGAACTGATGCGAGTGAACTGATGGGAGTGGTGGCACTGATGCACCTGCTGGACTGCTGCTCAGGGAGGAGGCCAATGTGCACCGTGCAAAGTGAAGCACTTTGAGGTGCTCAGCAGACAAAAAGGCCATGGATTAGGAGGCGTGAAAGCTGCTGAGGTGGTCAGGGCCTACAGCTAAGTCTTGCAGAGGAAGATTTGAGCCCAAGCACAGCATCACCACCCCCCTCACCTTCCAAAGAGGAGTCCTCACTCGGCTCCTGGGAGTGCTCTGGTCCTCCAGCTGCAGAGCCAAGTGACTCAGGCTTTGCCCTGACTCTGACTGATCTGCTTTGCAATGCTTACGCTTTAGCCAGGTTGCTGAAGACAAGAACATCCACCTGGGTCTGTACTGAGTCATTTCCACGTGGCCCTGGGCAAAACTACGCTCCCACCAGGAGCTGCTCTGCTCCTGGAAGCCTTGCTGATACAGCTGTTGGAACTGCCTGCAGGAAACAGCCCTGAAAAACAATCACCTCAATCATCCCAATTACACAGATGCTACAAACACACTTCCACCTGTGAGGATGTCACTCATTCCCAAGAGAGGATATGTCTTCAGGATCTGACATCTTAATGGCTAAATGACCACAGCGGAGGAAATCAGAGCTGTCTGGGTCTGGCAAGAGTTTTCACAAGTCATCCCCTCCACAAGTCATGCCCTGCAGGCACAGGGAGGGGGAGCTCAGCACAGACTTCTCCCAAAGCCACACATTTGTCTGCAGAACGTGAAACAGAAGCTTTCCTAACACATGGAAATCAAAAGGTTGCAAACATCTGCATTTCTGCCATCACCTCAGCCAGTCAAACCACCTGCAAAAGCTTCATCAACTTCAGGGAGGCAGAAAGAGGCTCCATCCGTAATCAAAGCGTTACGAAAGGTGGGTAATGGTTTCTATAAATACCATTAGAATTAGAAGAGGAACTTTTTTGCTATTTACATCCGTTAGCACAATTAGCAGTTGTGTCGTTGCTCGTTTGCACACGCTGCTTAATGCACTCTGTGCTCAGCAGGGGAAGGTTTCGAGGCTGTCATATGGATGCAGCACAAAATGGGGAGGAAATCCAAGGAAAACACACATATGCTGGGGGAAAAACAAAATGCAGAGCCTTCGTGGTCGCTGCGATTTCAGCACAACCACCATCAAACAGGGAGGTTGGCTGTGCTAAGGAAGTGAAGGATTTCCTGTAGTAAACAAGGAGATAGCTAAATGCAGTGACTCACAGGGTGCACTCTTTTGCAAAGATGGGTTTGGACTGGGATGGTGCTGTTGTTCCTACTAAGACAGCTCAGCTGCAAGCAAAGCAATGAAAAACAAACAGCAAAAATTAAGCAGCTTCCAAAAAAACCCACTTCAATACCTCAGGAAGACTTTGTGGGTCTAATTAGAGCAATTCTTCAGCGTTTCATAACCCCTCTTAGAAAACGTTGGGACAGAGATACTTGGCTCAGTATCCAGGAATAAATGCAAGCTGCTTTCTTTTTCTTTTTTAACCTGAAGAAGGTTATAAAGCCCTCACTCTTCCATCACATCACAGTTCTGTGCTGTTCTTGAAGATCATGTCCAGAACCAGCTTCTTCCTATTAGCAAGAGAAATCCCAGCACAACCAGGGGCAGCGTGGAGCTATCAGTTTAAACATGGGAATGAGGTTAAGTGGAAAACCTTATACCCAACAATGGACAAAGGCAGATCCCAGTCCAACAGAAGCTGAAACACGAGAATGTAAACAGCACAGCAAGGACGAGGCTGCACTAATCTAAGCAACGCATTGACTCAAATATTCTGCAATGCAAACAACATTAAAATGAGGGCCTGACAATGCCAGCTTGAAGCAAACATAATGAGAGCGAGACGTGGGCATGCCTCCCCTTGTTAGCTGCAACAATGCCCTCTCTTGACGAGCACAAGCAGCCTTTCTGTTGCCTGCTCCTCCTTGAGCTAAGAGCCAATTGCATCAATCGAGCTGTTGACAAAGTCCAGC